GAATGAGTTGTTTCGTGTTTCAGGCCCACTGCGGAGGACTTCGTCACAGATGTAGACACATACCACCGGAAACCTGTGTTCGCGCATGCGTGCATGGAGAAATAAAGACAGTGTGCCGTTTGACGCCGGCCCATGCAAATGACAGAAGATGCCTTGTCGTGTGACATCGAAGTGTAAACGGAGAAGACCTTGCCATGCCACGTCATCCACATTAATAAACAGAAGGCGCCGTATCGTATTACGTCATCATGACCTATAAAGAGACGATGCCTTATCATGTGACGTCATCCAGTTATATAAACAGATGATGTCCTTATCAGGATTTATTTACAGGCGGTGCATCATCATTTGACGTCATCCAGGTGTACATATACACATCGTGCGCGTTCGCGTGACGTCATTCAGATTGTAAACAGACGGTGCCTTCTTATGTGACGTCATGTGTAAACATAATGTGCCTTCTCTCATGCTCTATAGCACAATATCATCTGACAGAAGATACATCTTTATGTGAATACATTATACACAGGTGTATTGTGTGACGTCATGATACATACGATTCATCTGTCACACTTCACCATCCATCGTTCATCCAAGATGCTGCGGCTTTCAAAGGAACTGGAGAAAACGTCTATAAAAAATTGGTTTGAAGAATTGATGGGCTATGTTTACTCAGGCATAAGGTGTTAATTTTGATATTCGAGGGATGCTTTCCACATAGACTTTGTGATCTTAGATTTAATACAGACCTTCGGCAGTTGTAACTCTAAGATCATTTTGTGGAACGGGCCCTGGAAACGTTGATAGTATATTAAAAATAGGGGAGATATGAATATAAAGATAACTGCTGATAAGAATGGTCCTTGTGATCTGGGGATAGTTTCGAGACTCCCTACCACTTCAAATCATCCAGAACCCTAAAAATCGTAACTAAAAAACCCTTTATTTTATGTTTCTGTATATTGATCCATTTACATTTAGCAGCAGTGTCCTCAAATGGTAAAAAAATTGTTTCCTAATTTTTTTTAAAAAGGTATATGTTTCACAGCCAATTTTCTCACTTTAGGGATTGTACTGCCTGTATCAGGCCTAACCTAGTTAATACAGTGCTATTAAGCATTATTTAAATGTCACATTGTCTGAATACTGCCCCTGTGGGGATCTTGATTAGAATAGGTTCACAGCACGCCTAGTTTCAAGTGTGACCCAACACTCATTTGTTTCTCATAAGAGGCGCTACAACGGATCGAGTGCTCACAGCGTGCCTTCGTACCCCGACAACGTGGAACGTTGCTCCTAATATCAACCACTGGTTACAGCTCGGCGACATATAGCTGGAATAATACTGACTGCGGCGTTACGCAATAATAAATCAAAACATATTAGTCTTTATTTATTCCAATGCTTGTGGAGATCGAGAAGCACCTGGGCACAAATTCTGCTTCGTCATCCAATGAATTCGTTGCTGGTGGGTGGGGTGTGTTTTGTCCTCAATAACTGTAACATGCTGTAAATGAATATGTAATTCTTTGTAAATAAATGTATATATTTGTCATCAAAGGGTCCATTGTTAATGAATGGAAAGATGTACTGGACCGGGTGTTAAAATAATGATCGAGGGTATTTACAACGAACCCTCGTCCCCTGGTTGAGAAACTGGGACGGACATACGGAAGGCTCAGACGATTAAGGCGTGCAGAGTTGCGTCTCTTGGGCTTGCCAGGATACGAAAATCGTGGTTCGAATCCAAGTGTTAAAGTTCCAAGCCCTGCGTTATTTCGGGCTTTCCTCTTACATAAAGCTGACACGCCTTGGTATAAATGAGATACTGTTCAAAGCTTACACTTTAATACTGGATTTTCCTTTTCCAGGACTTGTCCAAGGAGCAGCACATGTGTAGATGTGCGTACCATAACTGCCCGAAGGCTGTAGGTTCAAATCCCCGATTTGCGCTGATTAACCAGCATGCTTTTTCGAAATATTATGGAATGCTGTCTGGGATATTCTAACTTTCTCGAACTTTGGCACCAAGCTAGATATGCAAAATGTGCAAGATTTTGGCCAAATCTCGCATTTCCTCGCAAATCTTTGCACATTTAGCTTCTTTTCATGGTAGAGATCGTGAGAATGCGATAACGCGAGAATGTACCTTACAGTATTCAGTATGACATTCAATGCTTTCCTTTCTCGTCATCAAGTAATTAGATCTACAGGGAGGACATATTTTGTCGATTGATGCCCTAAGGCACCGGGCGGTTAGTTTTCAAATAACATAACATATACCCGCTGATTTGCGGTTCCCCGCTATAGACAATGGGGGGCACCGGTGGCCCAGTCGTCTAAGGCGCCGCGATTCTCTGTGATGAGTTGTGTTCCTTGGGCACGCCAGAAACCTATGATTGTAGGTTCGAATCCCAGATCGCCCCGATTACGAATTCACGTTTCTAGGTTTGTCAGCACCGTACCTGTGCTCGTGGGTTTCACCGGAGTGGTAAACGTCCGAGTGCTGCATCACTTTGGGCTTTCCTCCCACACTTTTTTGGCGTGAATGAGTTGCTGTGTTTGATGTTGTGATTTAACAGTAATCAGTATAATAACGAGAAGGTGTAATAGATTCAAACCTATGGTAAGCGTAAAGTCTAAGGGATGCAACTCTGCACAGGAGGATGTGGCGCCCTAAAGCATTGCTCAGACACTCTATGGTCGTTTATTAACAGATGTTTATCATGTACTGATTGATAATATGATGCGATTTATATAGGCAACAGAGGTCAGTCCCAGGATGACCAATTTAGAGCGAATGACAACTGGAACTCTATCACACCCTCAACCGTATCGGCCCATTCATTTAGAGTAATCTCCCTTGGTTGCTCTCTAGTCTAGCTCCCTACCAGCGCTTTCGTCAGTGCACTCTCCTATCCAGAGTTCTATGCAGCCAGCATGGTACCTCTGCCACAGGCCAGCGTCATGTGACGATTCGTCACATCTTACACAGTCCATTCAAGATATTACATCTGTTTTTCATCTGAATCATTTTTGACGAGTCAACACGGTTAGATAAACACTTGTCATAGAAGGGATAACTTTCATGGTAAAAATATCACAAAACGTGCGAAACTATTTCCATTTGCGTAGTTAATCTTTGTTTACATTGGTTGTACGGCTCCACGTGCTATCATCGAAGGCCGACGGAGAGCTAGCGATACGGTCACTTTGATGTATGCAGATATATTGTCATGAACCTGACTGCCGCAGTTGGAGTAGCGTATCTATATAATTATGCAAAACAATATGTAAAGCGTCCCTAAAGGCTTCCATTAGGCAAATCTGTTCTGATTTCAGAAGAAACGCGTTTGTTTTCAAACAAGAGAAAACTCCGGTCACGTGATATGCAAATTTGGCTGTGATGGTAAGTCGCCAATGCGCCGGAGTGTTCCATACAAGAATCTTGAAATTTGCCCTCTAACCTCAAAAGTGTAATCACGTTTATATTTTTGTTTATGTCTTTGGGAATGCCATCATAATGACTTTTGAAAAGGTTTACGACTGACCAGAATTCCCAGATGCATTTACCTTTTTGTTTGTTTAAATCAGATTGGTTTGAGATTGCAGACTAATGGAAAATCAAACTAAACACAATTTATGGATAACAACTTCTTTAATTACTGTAAAGGCGACGTTTTGGTATAGATCCTTATACCGTTGTCAAGCAAGACAATCTTGCTTGACAACCTTATGAGGATCTATACCGAAACTGGGGGTGGGGGTCGGGAGGGTTGCTTGTCCGGATTAACAAGGTTTAATTGTGCCAGCCAACTGAATTACCATGCCGCAGTTTAACGTGGATATCCCATTCAGACATATTATCTCCCCTTAATGCCTAGAGACAGCCAGGGTAACAAGTACCATCTCTTAACGTCTTTTGGTATGACACGGCAGTGGATCGAACGACCTACATTTCGATCGCCGGGAAAGCGCACCTTCCACCGGACCACGGATACGGTCTGAAGTAGGAGTGTTGGGTCGCTTGCTGGAACTCCGCTCACCTTATGTGTGTCGAACTTTGTACTCGGTCAATTGCAGTACATGTATTTGTAAAATGGGCTGAGTTTGTTTTTTCAAAAAAGAGAGCTGAGATTATTCCAGTCACATTTCAAATTATACCGATGGAGGGAATATGGAAATTATCTCTCTGTCTACTTAAACATTACTATACATGCGTAGGTGATTTTAAAAAAACCCAACAATTTTCGGATTTCTGCGTCAAAGTATTTGATTGATTTATGGCCCTAGTTAGGAGTTTTATTGGACATGGCATGACATGGGGAATGGCAATGATCTAAATATTAATGCGAAACGTAATTACTTTTTTATGGGAGTTATTTGTTTTATGCCTACCAACCCGATTATATTATTATCGGCTCTTTGTTCAAGCAGGAATATTCGTAGTTATGTAACAATTGTCTATCTATAAAACTGTGTGGTTGTAATCAATTCTGCGTTTGATGTAGGTTTTGTAATTATCTACCACAAAATACCATATGCAAGTACATAGACTTGTACATTTGGACAAGACAACACAACACAAGTTGATCATAAATTAAATGTCAAAAAGAATATCTAAGGACAACTGCATCATGGCATTCACACCGTACCATCATATACTACTCAAAACAAGTTAAAGAACACCCACAATTATAAGATAGTGTTTTGCAAGACAATCAGCAATGACTGATTAACCATAGTCATATGAGATATTGCTTTACCGCAAGAAAGCGATGTCCCATCTCGGCCACCATACTCATTTGATGTGCTACAATCAAAATGCACTGGGTGTCTGTGAGGCAGGGAATGTGAAACCTGTCTTCGATTAACTTGATCAGATCCACTTGACTTCGCGCCGCCATCTTGTTTGAAGCAAATGCAAGTGGCCATTTACCTCACTTGTCTCGGAGTAATATCAGGAGTAGATCACACGTACACAGTAATAACATCTTATTCTTTATTGCTTTTTTACATCTGTATATTGTAGAATTTGATCCAAAGATTTCTTTCAATAGTCGTGTTATTGTAAAAAATAATAATGCAAAATTATTAGCAAAACCGCAAAATGATTTAATACTGTTTAATCTCTTTCCCAATCTCATTAAAATCCGATCTTTAACTCCAATACCGTACCCCTCCGCGGGAAGATCTGAAGACAGATCGTATCAGAAAAAAACATATATCTTATTTTAATAAGATTGATAAAGGATAACATCAGAAATAGGACACAACAGGTAGATAGTAGACCATCCAGAGAATATGTCTGTTGCATTGGCGTTTGCCACAACCACTGACATGGTACAGACAGTACAAATAAGGGTTAGCTGATCAGAGAAACCAATGTAGCCATGGCAACGAAATTGAACTAGAGTAACATGCCCTTGTCGGGCACGACCATACAGGATGTACAGGGTTGACAACGATACTCAATAGTAACGGACTGCTGTACTTTTGCAGAGTAGTTATATTGGTTTCTTAAACATCAGAATTGTGTAGTGCATCAAGTCCGTGTTTTATTTTATGAAAATAACAATTGTTTATTACTTCAATGCGAATAACTTTTCATTCGTAGTCTTTTTATTGAGTTTTATTTTACACATATAAGCACATAATATAAAAAAAGGCTAACCGAGCAAATAACTCTTGTCCCATGAACTGCACATAGGTCCCATGACGTTTTGCAATATAAGACCCGTACTAAAAGTAACTAGCAAAACAATCGTTATCGCACATTATATGATTTACTGACGGAATTCAAGTGCAAATGAAATTTGCGCATAAGAACTCACATACAATAATACGTAATTCAGGAAACGTCTCCTTTGGAAGTAGTTTAGCCCTCTTAACCATTCGTGACCACTCGTGTTATTCCGAGTCTTGTCTCCTTGACGGGAAGGGGCGAGTGGTACCGAAAGCCCTGTCACGATTGCTTAACCCTATTCCGGCGTACGGACACAAGGGTGTTACAGGCTGAATGGTCGACTAGTATTTTTTTAAACGCATAAACACAGATGAATCAATTCAGCTCATTCAATGCAAATGTTCACCTTAGATCTCCGACCCATTAAACAAACATGAAGTTGAGATGAAGACCTTATAATCAATACGAGTTTCTAGGTGACCAGGTTTTAGTTGAACTGACCAAACCATATCCTACCTGTAATGGAAACCCTCTAACAGCACCACATCATGGCATTTTGAGAACATAGAAGCCTCCGGGTATGTGGAACTCACACGAACCAAAACAGGAGGGGGGAGGTCAAATTGAGTTGTGAAAGCTGACTAAAATAGACGTATCCTACTTCGTGACATCAGGATTCGAGTCATACAGGTTGAGGAAATCCAGATACGAGACATCAGGTTCGATATATCCAGATTTCAGACTTCGGGTTTGAAGTATCCAAATTCGAGACGCCAGGTTCAATGTATCCAGAATCGAGAATCAAGTTAAGAGACACACAGGTTCGATACAATAATATTCGAGAATCCATGGGGTTTCATGGGGTTCGAAAAAACAGTTCTGAAATATTCATGTGCGGGATAACGATAGGTTTTATTATGAGATGCGGCTAGGGACATCTCAACACCAGCCGGTGGCCCATACTCCGCCGTAGTATTTGGGATTGGATTTACGTGTTGACTTTCCTAAATATGAGGGCACCAGCTTCCTCTTGTAACGGTCCAAAATCTTGATCATCTTTGCTAGAATATCCGGGGACTTGTAGGCGATGTCGTAACTCTCGGTTGGGTCAGCTATGTACAAAGAAATTAGTGAATGAGGAAGAATCTTTAAACATCAAATGCAGTGACAAAAATATAATGTGTTAAAGTGAATGAGTATGGTTAAGCGCCACTTTCAGCAAAATTCAAACACCATCACGGCGGTAGAGACACAAGAAATTGGCTTCACACACTGGACCAATGTAGGGAATCGAACCCGGGTCTTTGACGTGACGAACGAACGCGTTAACCACTAGGCCACCACACCCCCTAAAATGTTTTTAAAACATGGCTTACGTCATAGCTAGTCTCAGTTAATGTCGGTTATAGTGCTAGCCCGCTGAAATACCATGGCGCAGTTTAACATGAATACTCCACTCAGACACAGTGTACCAACTCCGAGCCGACCAGTCCTTGTTTTATTCTCAGGGCAGGTTAACAACAAGTACAAACTTTCAACGTCTCTTGGTATGACGCGACCAGGATCGAACCCCCGACCTTCCTCTCTCCGAGGATACGCAATAGAAAGATTAATCAATTAACTAGTATAGTATCACATGCAGTATACAATATTTCAAGTGTAATATACAGTATGCCACATGCAGTAATAAACAGTGGACCGCGAGCAGTGTGCGCTGGGCAGTTGCACACATTTCCTCCCCCTCTCCCTCAAGCAAACCCCTAATGGGGGAGTTACCAGGTCACAGGCCAGGCGTGCACTGGTCAGCTGTTTCACCGGTGGCTAGTGAGGGGTGCTGGAGGCCGGTATACATACTCTTGGAGTTATGGGACTGCAACTTGATACTGATGTCTTATAAGACCAAGAGTAAGATCATCCGGACGACCACTGCACGTGAGGCATGTGGGTTGTGGACGAGATACTACGTAGCATTTCTGTATTACCTTATATAGAATAGTATGAATGTTAGAAAGTGAGTTCTATGCAGCTAGACCGGCGCGAGCTGGACAGTGGAGATCTGGGAGCTGAACACGAAACAGCTAGTGAAGCTCCCATGCACAATAAAACGTTGTGGACCCGCAGACGGAGTTGTGTTGTATATTGAAGAAGTATCCCCTGGAACTACATACTTGTCTACGGCGGATAATAGTCACGAAACAGTAACAAGACCTGTCGTTAGAAAATAGTTGTCTGTTTCTCTATTTCAATGCGAATGTGTCACTTAAATAAAAACAAGCCGTGTTTCGTCACAACATGAACGCGGGATGTCTATTTCCTATGGCAAAATGGTTACTGTTTTTTTCACAAGTACACATTCAGATAAACTTATGGGCTATAGGAAAAATAATAAAACAAAAACCACGAAATATACCTTTACTAGTGTCTTATCAAATTTTCCCTTACCAATCCGCATAGGATAGATAATTTCGTAACTGAAAATGTTCTTACAATTTGTAATGGACAGTATTATTGATGCGATAAGGATCTTGGTATCACGATCCTATAAATATGCAAATGAGGTCACCTGGCAAGAACTATATTTAGGGTCCATACATAGAACCAATGTCTGCTCAGTCATTCATCTGTTGTATTACATGTGTTCCCAATGAGCTTGATGGGGGTTTCCCTATGTATGGGTGCTCTGTGGACACACATGCCTGCAAATCATTTGGCCCTCCATGATTAAAGGGGCGGTTTACTCAAACACTGTATCCATAGGCGGTTACACTGTATTCATACGCGGTTTCATTGAGCAAATTGATCCAATGATTATTTTAAGAATGACATTATATGATAAGGAGATTATTACCCTCGTGCGTTTTTGTTTCGTAAATATCATATTTCAGGAATAGTATGGCTCACATAATAAAATTTGTATTCCTAATATATGACACTTATGATACGGAATCACACTCTCGATTAATAATCTCGATTTATGCAACAATACTGAAATGTATGGTCAGCGGATCCATAGAGGAAGCGATTAGAAATTCTTTGGTAAATTGTTCTTTCTGAACCACATTGGAAATAACGCCCTAATGTGTGTAGATAAATATGAGTGAATGAGTGATGTTTTACACCGCTTTGAAAGTATTTCGGTTATACCACGACGTGTCAGAGTGATTTGTGAGGAAAGCCAGAAGGCATGGTTGGGAACTTTGGTGAAACTTACGCGCACGGAATTGGGACTGACAAACATAGAAATATCATCAGGGCTAACCGGGATTCAAATAAAAGTGATAAAACCCTTTCAATAAATATAAGAAATCAAACCAACGACCACAGGTTTCTGGGACACCTAAGGGACACAACTCTGCACAGCGAATTGTGATGCCACAAACGACTGTGCCCTCAGATGAAGACATAACAAGTACGCAGCATGGCGCGTTTCAAGTATTTCATTGTCATGGATAAGTGTTGTTTTCCACCGCAGTCAGCAATATTACAGCTATATCACAACGGCCTGGTGAACCAGTGGCTGATATCATGAGTACGACCACGTCACCGGGACACAACACACAATCAACCATGTCACAAATTGTAACCATCCGATCCCCATTAATCGGCCATTACGACTAGCTTGGAGTACTTGGAGTTATTGTACCTGAATACCTCCCCCCCCCCCCCCCACACACACACACACACACACCGAACCCCCACACCCAAGCCCCCACCTCCACCTCCACACACTCCATTAAGGTGCATTCAACTACCTGTAATGTTAAAGAGTTGGTACTCGGGGAGCCTGAGCTTGTCAGCTTTATAGAGGCACCTGTCTGTCCACAGGGTAGGTACGGGGTACCAGTTGTTATAGCGCCCTGGATTGCCGTGGATGAGCTTCATATGTCCAATACTGTGGAGAAGAGATCAAACGTATTGTAAACTTTGTACTTTATAACCAGGTTGAGGTAAATGATAATTGGGATTATGACAATGTTCAGTCAATATGACAACGTTAACAGTTGTTGTTTTTTATTAGCGACTCAGTTGATACAATTTGAAAAGTACAGTACCCTTGATCTTAAAGCGACGTTCTTGGAGTGAGTGAGTATTGTTTTACGCCACTTTTAGCAATATTCCAGCAATATCACGGCGGGGACACCAGAAATGGGCTTCACACATTGTACTCATGTGGGGACTTGAACCAGGATCTTCGGCGTAACGAGCGAACACTTTAACCACTAGGCTACTCAACCACCCCTGGCGTTCTTGGAAATTTTAGAAAATACCGGTGCATTAACAAACACGACAGGACAAGTGCTGTCTATGTGTTTCTCGTCGCCTCTGTTGACCCAAATTTACCAACTCTATTATGTCGTATGTCGTCCAGGTGGACTTACTATTTTGACCTAAAGGTAGCGTCTTGCCTGACCGTATGTCGTATGTCGGCCAGGTGAACTTACTATTTTGACCTGAAGGTAGCGCCCTGCCTGGTGGTATGTCGCCCAGGTGAACTTACTATGTTGACCTGAAGGTAGCGTCCTGCCTGGCCGTATGTCGTCCAGGTGAACTTACTATGTTGACCTGAAGGTAGCGTCCTGCCTGGTCGTATGTCGTCCAGGTGAACTAACTATTTTGACCTGAAGGTAGCGCCCTGCCTGGTGGTATGTCGCCCAGGTGAACTTACTATGTTGACCTGAAGGTAGCGTCCTGCCTGGCCGTATGTCGTCCAGGTGAACTTACTATGTTGACCTGAAGGTAGCGCCCTGCCTGGTCGTATGTCGACCAGGTGAACTAACTATGTTGACCTGAAGGTAGCGTCCTGCCTGGTCGTATGTCGTCCAGGTGAACTAACTATGTTGACCTGAAGGTAGCGTCCTGCCTGGTCGTATGTCGTCCAGATGAACTTACTATGTTGACCTGAAGGTAGCGTCCTGCCTGGTGGTATGTCGCCTAGGTGAACTGACTATGTTGACCTGAAGGTGGCGTCCTGTCTGTTTCATACTACCGTAAATATGCGGTCTGTCGTATACCATCCATGTGCCATCCAGGTGAGTTAAAAACGTTGACCTGAAGGTAGCGCCCTGCCTGTTTAATACTACCGGAATTCTGCGGTCTGTCGTATGCCATCCAGGTGAGTTAAAAACGTTGACCTGAAGGTAGCGCCCTGCCTGTTTAATACTACCGGAATTCTGCGGTCTGTCGTATGCCATCCAGGTGAGTTAAAAACGTTGACCTGAAGGTAGCGCCCTGCCTGTTTAATACTACCGGAATTCTGCGGTCTGTCGTATGCCATCCAGGTGAATTAAAAACGTTGACCTGAAGGTAGCGCCCTGCCTGTTTAATACTACCGTATTTCTGCGTTCTGTCGTATGCCATCCAGGTGAGTTAAAAACGTTGACCTGAAGGTAGCGCCCTGCCTGTTTCAAACTACCGTAAAGCTGCGTTCTGTCGTATGTCGTCGATGTTGTGGACGATCTGCCGGCGTTTGCTGGGCGTCCCCTTCCGTATCATCATCCACTGGTTGACACCGTCCATTTTCTTACCTGAAAGATTTTTTTAAAACTTCAGTCAACATTACAGACGCTTTGAGTGAGTGAGCGAGCGAGTATTATTTTATGCCACCTTTAGCAATCTTCACCCATTTAACCAATGCCGGTAATCGGACCAAGGCCGGCGGAGTGACGAGAGAACGCTTCAACCATTATGCCACCTAACATTCTCTACAAACGCATTGACTGGGGTATAAATCTACTTGGTAAATGTATAACCATTTTCAATACGTCACAGGTTGTGTATACACGCTACATTCCTCCATCATGGAACAACGTAGTGCATACAAAACCTGTAAAGTATTGCCGATGATGTATAACATGTGAATAAAATCAAACACGCCCATGCTCTAATAAATCCCCATCAAACCCATCTCATCAGCATCCCGTCCAAACACCTCTCACGAACATCCCAAACCAAACCCATCTCATAAGCATCCACACCAAATTTCCTCCATCAGCATCCCCTTACAAAACCCAACTCTCGAACATTCTTCATCAAACCCGACTCTCTATAGCTAACATCCGCCATCAAACCAATCTTATCAGCATCCCCACTAAACCCGACTCTCCAACATCCCCCACCAAACCCGACTCTCCAACATCCCCCACCAAGCCCATCTCATCAGCACCCCCCTACAAAACCCGACACATCCCACCTCAACACCTGGCAACGTTTCTCACAACACACACATTATACACCCCAATGCCACCAGCCCAACATCTAACACCATAAGTACCCACATCACTCCAAACGCCTGACACTAAGGACACAAACCAAAGGGAAATAAAGGTGGACACTTGCTGGAACTTACTTGACTTCCCACCTGCAATGTGAAGCAGCGTTGGATACCAGTCCACAGCATGGAACAACCTATAACATACATGTAAGTATGTGAGTGAGTGAGTGTGCTAGGTTTAACATAGCTGTGGTTACCGTACCCCCTCCTCATTGTGTAACATCACCTTTATCAGTGTTACGGATCTTCCTTCTTTGTGCTGTATGAGTTACATATAGTGAGGGAGTGAGTTGGGTTTAACACTGCTTTTAAGGGCGCCCCCGATTTACGTCTAAATAATTCCCAGTGATCTACACTGAATACAATTTCCCCTGTACCCGTGCTCCGGTGTTGTATAAATGAGAAGGTGAGTGAGTGAGTTGGGATTGAAGCCCCTTTTACCAAATTACCAATCATATCATTGGGGGGAAACAAGGAAAAGGCCTCACACACTGTACCCATATGGGGAAACAGAGCCAGGACGTGGCGAAACAACACTTTTACCACTAGGCTACCAATCTCACTGCTGCGGATCATCAATATTTCACGCGTTTCTACACACTGCTTTCCTCCTTCACCCGTGACTACACCAGGTTGAAAGTCGGGATTGTATTGATGAGTGTCTCTTTTTAGTCAGTTATTGTTAGTTTCTTGTTTAACGCCGCGCTCAGCAATATTCCAGCTATATTACGGCGGTCTGTAATTAGGATACGATGACATGCATCAACCACGTCAGCGAGCCTGATCACCCGACCCCGTGAGTCGCCTCTTACGACAAGCATTGTCGCCTTTTATGGCAAGCATTGGTTGCTGAAGGCCTATTCTAACCCGGATCTTCACGGGTCTTTAGTCAGGTAATAAACTGAGGCAATGTATTACACACAGAAGTCAAATGCATCCCACTCCGAACATAAACTTTGTTCGAACCCAACCATTGCCCTCCATTAAAGCAATGTATACATTCGTGTTATTCCGGGACAAGCCGAATAGCGACTCGTGCCCCTCTCATGGCCGTTTTTGCGACCGGGTTCCGTCTTAGCGCAAAGGGGCATATCTAAAACAACTGTCAACTCGTTGCGTAATGGTTCACATATATATCCCCATATATTATATATATTTCAAATGCAATTTAAAGCATATCTGGACATGCGGAACTATACAGTATGATTGAACACATTTAACTGTGTCTTGGGTATATTTTTAGATGCAAGACATATGTAAAATCAAAAATTATTCCTGAGGGATTTTTTGACGAAGAACTTGAAATCATACGCGCATTGCACATAACATTCATCGATAGAGGGACGAGTCATCTTGCAGGTTACGGAAAGGGGCGAGAGGAGACGAATGCAATGTATAGAGAGAAGTTACAACAAGGCTATGGGACATGTTTAACACGATGTCCAGCCAGAAACATTGCCGTTTGAGCGATGTAAACTGGGCTCTCATTGGTCTGAGTACTCGCTGGTTTCCCTCTCGACAGAACCAGGCCGTCACTTGATTCGTTGGTTAAAAATAACGAATACACGGCAACGAGGCCGTGTGTAATTACGGGTGATGGAGGAACGTGGTGTATACAAACACGTGAAGTTTTGACTATAATTGTAAGTTATGTGTAATATAATGACAGATTACCCATTATGCCATTGTATCCTCCTCTTGAGCAAAGTTTTACTGTACACGAGGGTGGGGACTCTCATGCCCCCTTCCCATAGAGTTGTTTTTCCACCCCGCAGGGGCCAGTTATTCCCCCCTGCATAGGGGGCGCCACCGTTCTGAAATTATAAAATTTGTTAAAGGGCAAATAATTACTGGGTCTTACAGTTTATTGAATTGAGATATTAGAGATGAAGCTCAGCTCACCCATGACGATAAAAGAACGCGTTGCTAAGGATGTAACTGTTGTAAATCATATGTGAAAGAGAACACCTGTGTGTAAGTTTTGTTAAACGCTGCTTTAAACAGTATTTCACTTTTATCACAGCGTGTTCGCTTGATGTTGGGAGACGTGAGGTAGGTCTTAACCGTTTACCACTTTGGTATGGTGCTGACAAACTAAGAAACATTATTACGGCGATTCTGTAATTCGAAGCTCGATTCACAGGTTTCGGGCACGCCTAGGGGAGGCAACTCAGCAAATGTTTGAGAACAATGTCTAAATAAAAGTGTTGCCCGGGCCGAACTGGCACTGCACTTTGCACACATAATTGGATTCGAACCGGGATCCTTCGCGCGACAAGCGACTCTTTAACCACTAGGCTACCTGACCACCAAAATCTTGATAACTGAAACCAATGCCTTTTAATAACAACAGAGATCTCAGAATTCCTCCAACGAGAATAATTTCAAAATGGAACGGTCACCCATCAGACAGAAAGTCTTTTTTTCTCTATTAGTCAGGCGTCTATCAAAGCAAAGAAAGAAGTCTTATCAAGTTTATAGCATGCCTCCGTGGTCTAGCGGATAGAGCGTCTATCAGGAGGGACGGGGCTTCGATCCCTGGTCGCGTTATGCTGAGTAGACATTATTTGATGGTACTTGTTGTTACCCTTCCTGGGGTTCGGCATTAAGGGGATAAAACAAGGAGTGGAATATACTGTATCGCTGAAGGGTATTCATGTTAAAACTGCGTCATGACATCACCAAAAATCTTTAAAAACTTTACACCTATCCAGGTAGTGTATGTAGTCGTGCCGTATAATAAAAATATTGCATCTACTCGTATCTATTGATTCGGTTCAACTTACCTGGTGCGTTTTTATTCATCTACAACTTATATCACAGAAAATGTATTTTGAAAAAATATCTCCCCAGCAAGGCAAAAGACATCTTCCTGAGGTAAGGGGGTTAACTGACTGTAAAAGTCCAGTTTCCACCCTTGCCGAACTTGGCTGGAATTTCTAGTCTCGGTTGACGAGCCACCAGTGGCTATTACGAGTTATGTCCCTTCTATGTCCCTCATACTGACCAATCAGATTCCACAATTCATATCACTTGCATTTGATTTAAACAAAATGGCGGCGTCCAGTCTGATCGATAGTCAAGATCTATATTGTAATAAAACGTGTCTTACCTCGCAAAGTGCATCAAATCATGTGAGCACCTTGATAAGAAACATGAAAAGATTTGGAAAATATCTGTCGAGGCCCGTTTGACGATACACATGCTCCTCAAATCTTGCAATCGATCGAAATCTGCACGATAGTTTTACGACCCGGATGTCGATTTCATAACGCGATTTTGATTGGACTATGTATAGACTCGTTAGCGCAGCCAAAATATAATTCCATAATTGCAGCTTAGTTCGGCAAGGGTGGAAACTATACTTTTATAGTCAGTTAACTCCCTTGCCACGGGAAGATGGACAAAAGAGAACTCCACACGTTACGGTGATGGAAATTAAAGGGAAAAGTCTCTGACTGAGAACATTGAACTGTCAGATCTCCGTCTCTAATGTCCCACATAAGTCGTAACACAATACTTACATCTGAGGTAAATATGACGAGAGAGTTTTTGAGCAATCCTTCAACTTTGAGTGACCTCGTTATATCCCCAATAGCTTCGTCCATAGCGGATACCATGGCTGGGGGAGAAGAGAACATATTATGAACGTGCGTGAGAGAAGATGGCACACAAGGCCAGCCCACCTACAGTTGACTGGTGGTCTTAACTATTCAAACCGGCAAGAACATGTATTGTCCATAAACATGAGCCACGAGGCCTAACTGACAACCATTATGTGCATGTCTACTGCCCCACTGGACATGTAGTGGACTCGAAACCGTTTGGTCAGATATATTTCTCCGTGGAGATATTACGGGTTGACAAGCATAATAGTCACGTGGTTCTGTATCAACTATCTGGCACGGGATTCTGTGGTAGAAATAGTCACGGGGTTCTGTATCAAATATCTGGCCCGGGATTCTGTGGCAGAAATAGTCACGGGGTTCTGTAGCAACTATCTAGCCCGCGATTCAGAGGTAGAAATAGTCAGGGGGTTCTGTAGCAACTATCTGGCCTGGGATCCAGAGGTAGAAATAGTCACGGTGTTCTGTATCAAATATCTGGCCCGGGATTCTGTGGTAGAAATAGTCACGGGTTCTGTAGCAACTATCTAGCCCGAGATTCAGAGGTAGAAATAGTCACGGGTTCTGTAGCAACTATCTGGCCCGAGATTCAGAGGTAGAAATAGTCACGGGTTCTGTAGCAACAATCTGGCCCGAGATTCAGAGTTAGAAATAGTCAAGGGTTCTGTAGCAACTATCGGGCCCGAGATTCAGAGTTAGAAATAGTCACGGGGTTCTGTAGCAACTATCTGGCCCGAGATTCAGAGTTAGAAATAGTCACGGGTTCTGTAGCAACTATCTGGCCCGAGATTCAGAGGTAGAAATAGTCACGGGTTCTGTAGCAACTATCTGGCCCGAGATTCAGAGTTAGAAATAGTCACGGGGTTCTGTAGCAAATATCAAGCTCGAGATTCAGAGGTAGAAATAGTCACGGGGTTCTGTAGCAACTATCAAGCCCGAGATTCAGAGGTAGAAATAGTCAGGGGGTTCTGTAGCAACTATCTAGCCCGAGATTCAGAGGTAGAAATAGTCAGGGGGTTCTGTATCAACTATCTGGCCCGAGATTCAGAGTTAGAAATAGTCACGGGGTTCTGTAGCAAATATCAAGCTCGAGATTAAGTGGTAGAAATAGTCAGGGGGTTCTGTAGCAAATATCTGACCCGGGATTCTGAGGTAGAAATAGTCACGGGGTTCTGTAGCAACTATCTAGCCCGGGATTAAGTGGTAGAAATAGTCAGGGGGGACTATTTCTACCTCTGAGAAGTCACGGGGTTCTGTAGCAACTATGTAGCCCGAGATTCAGAGGTAGAAATAGTCACGGGGTTCTGTAGCAACTATCTAGCCCGAGATTCGGAGGTAGAAATAGTCACGGGGTTCTGTAGCAACTATCTAGCCAGGGATTCAGAGGTAGAAATAGTCACGGGGTTCTGTATCAACTATCTAGCCCGAGATTCAGAGGTAGAAATAGTCACGGGGCTCTGTAGCAACTATCAAGCCCGAAATTCAGAGGTAGAAATAGTCACGGGGCTCTGTAGCAACTATCAAGCCCGAAATTCAGAGTTAGAAATAGTTAGGGGGTTCTGTAGCAACTATCAAGCCCGGGATTAAGCGGTAGAAATAGTCAGGGGGGACTATTTCTACCTCTGAGAAGTCACGGGGTTCTGTAGCAACTATGTAGCCCGAGATTCAGAGGTAGAAATAGTCACGGGGTTCTGTAGCAACTATCTAGCCCGAGATTCGGAGGTAGAAATAGTCACGGGGTTCTGTAGCAACTATCTAGCCAGGGATTCAGAGGTAGAAATAGTCAGGGGGTTCTGTATCAACTATCTAGCCCGAGATTCAGAGGTAGAAATAGTCACGGGGCTCTGTAGCAACTATCAAGCCCGAAATTCAGAGGTAGAAATAGTCACGGGGCTCTGTAGCAACTATTAAGCCCGAAATTCAGAGGTAGAAATAGTTAGGGGGTTCTGTAGCAACTATCTAGCCCGAGATTCGGAGGTAGAAATAGTCACGGGGTTCTGTAGCAACTATCTAGCCAGGGATTCAGAGGTAGAAATAGTCACGGGGTTCTGTATCAACTATCTAGCCCGAGATTCAGAGGTAGAAATAGTCACGGGGCTCTGTAGCAACTATCAAGCCCGAAATTCAGAGGTAGAAATAGTCACGGGGCTCTGTAGCAACTATCAAGCCCGAAATTCAGAGTTAGAAATAGTTAGGGGGTTCTGTAGCAACTATCAAGCCCGGGATTAAGCGGTAGAAATAGTCAGGGGGGACTATTTCTACCTCTGAGAAGTCACGGGGTTCTGTAGCAACTATGTAGCCCGAGATTCAGAGGTAGAAATAGTCACGGGGTTCTGTAGCAACTATCTAGCCCGAGATTCGGAGGTAGAAATAGTCACGGGGTTCTGTAGCAACTATCTAGCCAGGGATTCAGAGGTAGAAATAGTCAGGGGGTTCTGTATCAACTATCTAGCCCGAGATTCAGAGGTAGAAATAGTCACGGGGCTCTGTAGCAACTATCAAGCCCGAAATTCAGAGGTAGAAATAGTCACGGGGCTCTGTAGCAACTATTAAGCCCGAAATTCAGAGGTAGAAATAGTTAGGGGGTTCTGTAGCAACTATCAAGCCCGGGATTAAGCGGTAGAAATAGTCAGGGGGTTCTGTAGCAACTATCTGACCCGGGATTAAAAGGTAGAAATAGTCACGGGATTCTCCATGGGACTTATGTGTCCTTGCTTATTGTATAATTGTCGCAATACGTGGTCTATACTGGAATAGTTGTAGCAGTATATGATATATACTAGACAGTTGTTGCAGTTCATGATACAAACTTGAATAGTTGTAGCAATACATGATATATACTGGAATAGTTGATGCAGTACATTATGTATACTGGAATAGTTGTTGCAAGACAAGATATATGAAGGAATAGTTGTTGCAAGACAAGATATATGATGGAATAGTTGTTGCAATACATGATAAATACTGGAATGGTTGTTGCAGAACATGATATATACTGGAATAGTTCTTGCAAGACACGATATATACTGAAATAGGTGTTCCGGTATATGATCTATACTGGAATAGTTATTACAGAACATGATATATACTGGAAAAGTTGTTGCAGAACATGATATATAATGGATTAGTTCTTGCAAGACATTATATATACTGGAATAGGTGTTCCGGTATATGATGTATACTGGAATAGGTGTTCCGGTGTATGATGTATATTGGAATAATTGTTGCAGAACATGATAAATACTGGAATAGTTGTTGCTGAACATGAAATATACTGGAATAGGTGTTCCGGTATATGATCTATACTGGAATAGTTATTGCAGAACATGATATATACTGGAATAGTTGTTGCAAAACATGATATATACTGGAATAGTTCTTGCAAGACATGATATATACTGGAATAGGTGTTCCGGTATATGATCTATACTGAGAAAAGTTGTTGCAATGCATAATATATATCCTGGAATAGTTATTGCAAAACTTGATATATACTGGAATAGTTGTTGTTATTCTTGATCTTTGGTAGAATAATTGTTGCAAAACATTTTCTTTAGTTTAATACTCACCGCTATATAAACGCCTAGATCGATACCGGATTCTTGAGTACATGTCCTTAAATCTTTTGGGGGCCTGTAAGGACCAACACAATCATGATTTTAGAATTGTAATGCATCCTTTCGTATTTTAAACAAAGTGTGTGTGTGTGTGTGTTGGGGGGATTTTATCGAAAAGAATATACTGTCCCCGGAAATTCGAAAAAATAATGATTCAGAATATGTTGAATTACATTGTTGCAAGGTGTTTTTCTTGAAAAAATCCCTCATAGTATTAAATTAAAAACATCTGTTTCATAGATAAAGCTGCAAAAATTATGTATTCTCGATACAAAATCCCAATAGTCGGTCCCTAAGTCAGTGTTGTTGATATTGATGGTTGGTTTATTTTTTAAGTTTCAGTGCGTGAGAACGTGATGTTCATGTACACCCACATACATAACGAGAAGTGCTAATTTGAGTAACGTGACGTCAATACTTTATCTTTATATTTTATCTGTCATACCCAAAAATAAATGTTCTCGAAATACGTTTCCGTAGTTACCTGTAACGGCACGTGCACAGCTTGGAATGACACGAACAGGAAGAGGGGTGATTCCTGATTGTGTGTCCGGATGATGTCTATTGCACGCCGGGCAAACACAAACTGACAAGGAAAATAACAATAGCAGATTAGTTGTCATGGTAACTGACACGACTTATTAATTTATAACTTATTGTAACTGTGGGTGGCATATTGAACGTAGTACACACGTCACGCATTAAGTTATATTTTTATCAACTTCTATGAGTGAAATTGAGAGGAGTAACGCTAAATAAAAACAAGATTGGAAATATGGAATCTTCATTCTTTCGATAATCACGGTCCAAAACCTTCAAAAGCTGCTCAAATTCGAAAAAAATGAAATATTGCCAATAAATCGGGATTTGTGCGTTCGTCTATATTAATATATAAGCCGTTTTATTTATGAATTATTTAATTCTGAATAGTTATAACAATGTGTAATAACAGTTGCACGGTCACCATTACATTGGCGATGATTATTATCAATATATGAATGTACCACTAAAACGAATTGGAAAGACATTTATGCCCAGATACTCAGTAGTCATTAATGTAGTTGGTGCCCGTGAAGATCCGGGGTAGAATAGGTCTTCAGCAACCCATGCTTGCTGCAAAGGCGACAATGCTTGTCGTAAGAGGCGACTAACGGGATCGGGTGGTCAGGCTCACTGACTTGGTTGATGCATGTCATCGTATCCCAATTGCGTGGATCGATGCTCATGATGTCCATCACTGGATTGACTGGTCCAGGCTCGATTATTTCCAGACCACCGTCATATAGCTGGAATATTGCTGAGTGCGGCGTTAAACAACAAACAAACAAACAATAGTTGGTCCCACATGGGGTCGATTTCGAATGGTGCCAGAGTTCAAGTTGAGTAATATTTTAGGCCAGCTTGCACAAAGCGACAATAGCACTAAAGACTCATGCAACCCCGATACTTATGTATAGACTTAAAATACTCGTTGTGATAGAATGACTTTGGACAAGTGGTCTCTGGCCTAGGCAGCCAAGCCTGGAGCTAGATTAGCCATTAGTCCGTGTGATGTGGTTTCAACGCTGTTGTTCTCGCTCTGCACAGCGACAACTTGATGTATTAGTGATTATTTTATTTTTTGTCAAGAATTCTCTTGTTATATTTCGTGCGGTTGGGTAGCCTAGCGGTTAAAGTGTTCGCTCGTCACGCCGATGACACGGATACAATGTGTGAAGCCCATTTGTGGTGTCCCCCGCTGTGATATTGCTAAAAGCGGCGTAACACAATACTCACTCACTCTTGTTATATTTGTCCTTGTTAATACATATTTCGCTATGTGACCAATATTTTGTGCTGTGACAAAGTGTACTTATTAACTATGGCACAAAGTCTTATCATTACTCACACAATGTACCTGAGTCCCGCTCCGTCATGTGATGTTAGCGCCGAGATGATAGTGACTCCCGTACGTTAACACAGACTAACGCTAGTCGTATCGCTAAGATCACTTTGTGGAACGAAGGTAGTTTGTATGAGTAATGACTTGGTTTTGTACCAGGGTTCCTATGGCTTAGGATTAATCGAAGGAAAGTAGAGTAACCTTGTAGCCTAAAACCTTTGCTTGTCACGTGGACAAATAACGGGTTCTAGTCCCCGCTAAGGTGCAGTTCAGGTGCCGTTACATGGCTGGAATAATACTAACTTTGAAGGTTAAACCCAACATTTTCGTTGGAAAGGCAACATGTTTCGGGTTAAGAGGCACTCTTTCAAAATACGAATAGATATTAAGGCAATGAATTTTCGGAATATGATTGAGTGAGTTGGGTGTAGAGCCGTTGTTAAAGTTCATTTGAGTTATTTTTCGGCATGTCAGCTTACCATTGAAAGGCAGTTCAAAACGATATAGTTTAACGTTTACCTCTTTGGTTAAAGCTACGAGTGTCTTTCTGTCAGTGTGTTTGTTGTTTAACACCGAACTCAGCAATGTTCCAGCTTTATGTCGATGTTCCGTAAGGAATCGAGTCTGGGTCAGACAATCCAGTGATTGAAATAATGAGCAAACATCCACGCGGTCGGGGTACGATGAGTGAGTGAGTGAGTGAGTTTGATTTTACGCCGCTTTTAGCAATATTCCAGCAATATCACGGCGGGGGACACCACAAATGGGCTTCACACATTGCACGCATGTCGGGAATCGAACCCGGGTCTTCGGTGTGACGAGCGAACGCATTAACCACTAGGCTACCCGACCGCCCCCGGCGTACGATAAGACACCCCCAACTAAGTCTCCGAGCCTGACCGCCCGATCCATTTTGTCTCTCACGACCAGCATAGGTTGTTGGGGACCACTTCCAACCCAGAATGCCCACATACATAATTCTGCACATCGGCCAAATATGACAGAAGAATGCACATATCAGTGTGCATAGCTCGATGTAGTAAATGTTGTTTAAAAGTGTAACACCACCATATTCTCTTTAAAGGTCACTTTATCAGGGACACGCTTACATTCCCTCTGTTATTGAAATGTGGTTTTTTCAAAACATTAGGGTTGGTCGTAAAACAAGATATATTTTAATATACCGCTAAATGATATCAACAATTTCCAATTGAAAAGGTGATTTCTACTGTTCCTTTAAAACATATGGCTTTCATCACTTACTGTAGAGTAATTTCCATTTTCAGTGGCGAGGACAGACGAGTTGAACCAGAAATCCAAGCCAATGTGGCTCTGTTGGCCTGAAACAGTTGTGTTCTCGCCTGAACCATCTTCGTTTATCTAGGGTATAATATCTCCATTGCATTGTGATAAGGGTCGAGTGAGGATGTTCCCTCTCTCGCCCATGAGTGTAATTTGCTTCAATTTCATTAAAATCAGATCTTAGTTCTTGCTTAGTCTACATGCTGTAACCTGTGTCCGTTAGGGGTGACGCGTCGAACGCGGTCTGGGGTGTGTTTCTCTGTCCCTATAAATGGTGACTGTCTATTGCGGGATATGTCTGAACTTCTGTATCTAAGGGGTGACTGTCTAATTTGGTCTAGCGTCCTTACCTCTGTCCATTAGGGGTATCTGTATAATGTGGGTCTACGGTCCCTACCTCTCCCTAAAGGAAGCCGTCTACCGTCTGTACATTCTAATGCAGTCAAGCAACAGAACCTGACCCTAAGAGATGACTGTTTAACGCGGAATAGCGTCTATACCCTTATGGGTGACTGTCTAATGTGGAATAGCGTCAATACCTGACCCTTAGGGATGACTGTCTAATGTGGAATAGCGTCAATACCTGACCCTTAGGGATGACTGTCTAATGTGGAATAGCGTCAATACCTGACCCTTAGGGATGACTGTCTAATGTGGAATAGCGTCTATACCTGACCCTTAGGGATGACTGTCTAATGTGGAATAGCGTCTATACCTGACCCTTAGGGATGACTGTCTAATGTGGAATAGCGTCAATACCCGACCCTTAGGGGTGACTGTCTAATGTGGAATAGCGTCTATACCTGACCCTTAGGGATGACTGTCTAATGTGGAATAGCGTCAATACCTGACCCTTAGGGATGACTGTCTCATGTGGAATAGCGTCTATACCTGAGCCTTAGGGATGACTGTTTAACGCGGAAAAGAATCTTTACCTCTAATATGAGTGTAGTGGTCCTCCGCCCCTCCATAGAAGCCCAGGAAGCTGTCAAAGCCCCGGTATGTGGGCGTGTACTTGGAGTTGCAGTACCCGAGGTGCCATCTAGAAGCGTTAAACACACAGATGTCCGTCATCAGAATTTTTTGGTAAACAAATCATGAATAAGTTGTGAGCTAACGTTAACATATTTCCAATGGCATACTAATCCATATGAGTTGTATGACTGTATTATTGTAAAACTTTCTCACGGATGGTTCCTTAGTTTAACAGTGATTGGGGTGTAACGCTGCTGATACAGGACTCAACATACCAGAAGACTGAGATGGTACATGTTACCCTGTCTGGCACTCAGCGTTAAGGGAATAAAACAAAGGACGGTCGGCTCGTTATCATTATCACGTGTCTGAGTGGAGTATCCATGTTATACTGTAGCATATCTCAGTGGGCTAGCACTATAAAACCGGCATTATACCGGACTAGTATAAGTACACACACACACGCACGCACGCACGCACGGACGCACGCTTGCACGCACGCACGCACGCGTTGTGAAGGGAAGCCCCAAGTGATGCAGAATATGACCACTTTGAAACCGACTCGCATTGATATGGTGCTGACCTAGAAACCAAATCAGAGCGAATTTTAGATTCGAACCAGCGAGCATAGTTACTGGCATGCCTTAGGAGCGCAACTATGCACCAGTGCAACCAAGGTATCAAAGACCTAAATGTAGTTGAATTGTGAGAATATTTTGATGCTACACACTTCCCAACCATATGTGTTTTGTATCCGAGTTTTTTCAGCTCCTCTGGAAGCAGGCGGAACTTGTCCGGTAGATACATCGGTCGGTCCTGCGGCATGATTCCGCTCTGGAAATAGTCACAACCATGACATAAACAACAACATATAAAGTGATTAAAACGCCCGGAAAATCTCGGTTAACATGAACTCGCCAGGACAGGCTTTGATTGACTTCTATAAAATAATTACTTTTTCCTCTTTTCAAATTTCAAAAGATTGTCATTGTCGTCATAGATTACCTGAAGGCCAGTGCGGAAGGGATACTGACCAGTTAATATGGCCGTCCGCGATCTGAAAGGTAAATATAAATTATTTCTGAAAAAAAACACACATTGTACAATGTAAACATGTTCAACTAAAAACTGCTATTAATGTATAACCAAAACTTATATTAAATCTCTGAAATGAAAATATTCTTGTTAATTTGTCTTTTTATATCTAATAAAAGGGAGCTATGAGAATCTCTTACTTTCCCCGAAACTGTCAACTATAGTCCATGGATAAGCGAGAGTTCTTTTAAATAGTTTATTGCAATTTGTCTATGAACTAATTCTCGACATATGTTGAGAATTCCGGGTTAGAATTTGTCCCCAGAATGTTCTTGTGGAAAACTAACTAAAATGTATTTGAAATTGTTTCATCATTCACCGATGGAGTGAAATCATGCTCTAAGTCTCTGGTTTACCTGACTCAATTATTAACTGTCGTGATATAATATTGCTGATTGCGGCGTTCAACAACTTTTTTTCACTTACTCCGTCTATTGTGAGAGAGTAAGGTTTTATGACGCTTTTAGCAATATTAGAGCAATATCACGGCGGGGAACGCCAGAAATGGGTATCACACTTATATCCATGTGGGGTATCGAACTAGGGCTTTACCCACAAGGCTACCCCACCGCCCCACTACGTTGTACTCACGGGGTACAGACGGGCTGGGTGTAGGAACTGTTGAGAATCACCCCTGCTCGCGCCAGTCGATCCAGGTTAGGAGTTTTGATCTCGCGGTTCTTCCAGCCAACATCATTCCACCCTGAAAAGTAAAATAATGTTATTTTGGTCACACCCTTACATCACGCATGAGCACCCGTGAAGATCCGGGTATGAATTGGCCTTTAGCAACCTTGCTCGCTCACTTGGCTGATGCATGTCATCGTATCCAGATTGCGTAGTTCGAATCACTGGATTTTCTGGTCGATTATTTACAGATCGCCGTCGTATGACTGAAATATTGCTGAGTGCGGCGTTAAGCAACAACCTAACCACTATGATACTGGGTTCGAATCTCAGGTTCGACTTTATCATGTTTTTGGGTTTGTCAGCACCTTACCTGTGAGTGTGGGTTTCACCATGGTAAACGTCTGAGGCCCGAATCACACATCGGGCTTTCCTCCCACATCAAACTGACGTATTGTGATGCAATAGAAATACTGCTCAGAGCGGCGTAAACTCAACTCGCTCACAAGTACATATCAAGATAACTTTGATCCAGAGGAGCAACACGGCGAGAAGAAATTTTGTAGCATGTTCGTTAGTTCGTTTGTTCGTTCGTTCGTTCTTTAACGCCGCACTCAGCAGTATTCCAGCTATATGAAGGCGGTCTGGAAATAATCGAGTCTGGACCAGACAATCCAGTGATGGAGATCATGAGCATCGATCCACGCAATTGGGATACGATGACATGCATCAACCAAGTCAGCGAGCCTGACCATCCGATCTCGTTTGTCGCATCTTACGACGAGCATGGGTTGCTGAAGACTATTCTACCCCGGATCTTCACGGGTCCGAAGTATGACGTAAATGAGTTAGCATGTGCCAACATTGGTCAATAAAGATTCCAGTTCAAACCAAACGCGTTAAAATGAGGGTATCGACTTTCAAAAATCAACATGTTTCCAAATACGCTGAAATGACTGTAGATTTTTGTTGAAGTTCGTTAACTTCTTGTGAAGGAGTTTCTAGGGGATGGATATGTTATACAGGGGTACCTGGTAATGACATCGCGCAACATCGCTGTTGGGTGTAGGGAAACGTGTTTTAGGATGCTTATAGTTAGAAATACCTTGTTTTGTTGGTTGTACTTGTTTTGTTTAAGCCACAACAAGTATATTATTTGTTCTTTATATCGTTTTCCAAAAATGTTTTTAATACTGAGAATATGAAGGAAGGAATGTCATAGTGGTGGCGGTGTGCGTACTCCGTGCGTCCATATATCGTTCGCTTGGGCGTGCGTGCGTTCCCGTGTGTGCTAGTGTGTGTGGGGTCTGTGTGTGTGCGTGTGTGCGTGTGTATGCATTAAAATACTAAAATGCTTAGGCAATTACTAAAGTTAAGTTTAATTGTGTTCGTGTTCTTGTTCAACTGTATTGCAGTACAATCGTAAACAGTGTATTGAAGATTGAGGACATTTTCGCTTCCGTTACAGTTTTACTTGAGGTCGTCAGCAGTGACCTTGCCAATGATGACCGTCACGTCTAAGCTTCTTTAGAAATAGAAATGTCCGTAGGAAGGATAAAGTAGACATAGTAAAACATCGTAAAACATCGTAAAACATGTTCCAGTAGAACCGAGTGAGCGTGTTAGGTTCTACGCTTCTTTCAGCCATTTCCCCGCCATATCACGGTGGGGGACTAATGGTATTGGGATTCAGACATTAAACCCATTAGGGCAATCGCACCCTGGCCTTCGACATATCATAGATAAACATCTCACGTTCATGTGGATTCACTGTGTGTCTTATAAATCTATTGTAAACACGTGTCCTTCCAATATCAAACAATGAAATAGCACTTTCCATTGCGATAGTGTGTTCCATGTCACTCACAAGACAATGCTTTGTCATGCAAGACACGACCCGTGAAGATCCGGGTTAGAATAGATCTTCAGCAACCCATGTTTGCCGTAAAAGGCGACGATGCTTGTCGTGAGAGGCGACTAACGGGATCGGGTGGTCAGGCTTGCTGACTTGGTTGATGCATGTGATCGTATCCCAATTAAGTGGATCGATGCTCATGATGTCCATCACTGGATTGTCTGGTCCAGACTCGATTATTTCCAGACCGTCGGCATATAGCTGGTACACTGCTGAGTGCGGCGTCAATCAACAAACAATCAAACAAACCAACAAATCATGCAAGACACACTTCGAGCTGATTATATCTTTAATATAATATTTTGTTTGGATTTGTACTTAAACGAAATTTGTGAATACAATTATTTACACAATATATGTAGTACGAACGAACAAGATGCTTTTTAGAGAAAGGAAATTGATATCTGAAAAATAACAATCTTTCTAAGTTTTCTGTCAATGTTATTAAGTCATTTCTCAAGGAAAGCGTATTTCCTTTGACGCTCACAGCGAGGAGTCAATATTACAGAGAATATGTGTTCACGTTTTAATAACGTTTCAAACCGCGCCACATTTAACAGCTGTTTTCGGAAGAGATCTCATTATTGGTCGCATAAGAGGTATAGATTCCGCTCAAATAACTTACGGCGTATTTTTGCGATAATTGGAATATTCAGAAGTGCGACGTCAGTAGCCTTGACCTACTGACCCAGAGAGAAACCTCAAAAAGATACCTAAGCGTAACAGGATACTACATAAACAAACATTAATAAGCAGGCGGTAAGTGGTTCGCTACGCTAAACAAGTTCCAGGGGAATGAGAATTCTTGAGAGGATATTTTCTTTCAGCTTGCGCCTTTAAAGTGCATGAAGACAAGGCAAGGCAAGGAATGGTTGCATGCATCCCGCCTGAAGAGAATGTCATTTCTGAATGACAACTGCTCCAACTTGTAGTTCAGTTGCGTGAGTGAGTGAGATGGGTTTGCCTCTTTTTGCAGTAATTCGGGTAATTCACAGCGTGTCAGCTTCATGTGGGAGGAAAAACACGTATCAAAAAGGGCCCGTTCTCAACACTTATCTTTGAGTAATGTATAGTTCCACACAGCGATCGTAGTGCTGAGACGATCACAACTCTTATAGTTTGACACACACCCCAAGACATCGTTGCGCTGAGATCGCTTTGTGGAACGGGGTCTTTGACATTTACCGCTTTTTTTAATGCCGAAGGTAAGCCAGGGTAAGAACAAGTAGCATGTTTTAAAGTCTTTTGGTACGACGCGGCAGGTACCAGTGACCTCCGCTCTCGGGGCAGGTAAATTATACACAATCACTATACCATTGTTGGGGTACGTACATGTAGATGACGAAATTAGCCGAGCAGATCCGAGTGCATTACTTAGATGTAGCGGATTAAGCCGAGCAGACACGAGTTATGAGGGTCGTATAGGGAGGCGATCGTATGCTGTACAATGTGAGTATTTTTAGCATATTTTTTGCCATCAATAATACATTATGAATTCCGGCTTACATCTGGCAATATATTTGTTTCACAGAAACAAGTGAGCAAATATTTCGCTTTTCTAGAATAAGAATACAAGACGGGGGAGCCTATGGTTGGTTGGTTTGTTTGTTGCTTAGCGCCGCATCAACCAAGTCAGCGAGCCTGACCACCCGATCCAGTAAGTCGCCTCTTACGACAAGCATAGTCGCCTTTTACGGCAAGCATGGGTTGCTGAAGACCTATTCTGACCCGGATCTTCACGGGTCGGGGGAGCCTATGGAAAATATGTACAAGACAAGATGGCAAGTCTTTTAACACATAGATATATTCCATACATACATCAGAAAGTGAGCAATGTATTTTATGTGGAAACAATTTTATGAATGTTGCTGATGGGTATCAATAGGAATACCAATCACTTGATTGTCTGGTCCAGACTCGGTTATTTATAGACAGACGTCATACAGCTGGAATGTTGCTGAATGCAGCGTTAAACAACAAACAAATAAATTGAATACTCAGGAAAACAATGTTCCTTGCATCTTCCCGAGGCAAGTGAGTTAACTGACTATAAAAGTCTAGTTTCCACCCTTGCCGAACTAGGCTGGTATTATGGTGTTAGATTTTGGCTGGACTAACGACTCTATGCATAGTCCAATCAAAATCGCGCACTGAAATCGAAATCCGGTTCGTAGAGTGTCATGCAGATTTCGGTCGACTGCAGGATTTGCAAAGCATGTGCACCGCTAACTCGTTGTCAACAGATATTTTCTAAATCTTTTCATGTTTTTAATCAAGGTGCTCACGTGGTTTGATGCACTTCGCTATGTAAGACTCGTTTTATCATAATATTGATCTTGATTATCGATCGGATCGTCTTGACTGTTTTCTTTGAAACAAATGCAAGTGATACGGGAGGTTGAATCTGATTGGTCCATAGGAGAGGCATAGAAAGGCCATAACTCGTAATAGCCACTGGTGGCGCTACGATCGAGCCCAGGAATTCCAGCCTAGTTCGGCAAGGGTGGAAACTGGACTTTCAAAGTCAGTTAACTCTCTTGCCTCGGGAAGATGCGTTCCTTGCTAAAACATCAATAATTTGATTAAATCAGATAGATTGTGTGTTTGTTCGTAAAAGGTGCAATTTTAAAATTAGATGTGCAGAAGTCTCGCTCAGAAGAGTGATTTTGATTGGTTGTTTATTTCAAACTCTTAAGAGAGAGAAAATCTGTGCCAAGTTGGTGATAGGAGCGATGAAGCAGTGACGTCATTTCCGAAACTGCTCCAGGATATTTATCAAACTAGAATAGAAACCACTCGCATACTGGCTTATCGACGAACCCGTTCGACGTATTCAAAGGAGTTCCCAAAGTTCGGCTAGCGAGAGGTCATTATAAGTTCAAGGTCGTATGTATCTTCGGCTGTAATTCCACATTATCGTGACAGAAGAAAGACTGGAATGCTTACATCTTGACATCCCCGAGCCAGAACGGAATGGTAAGAGGTGCCCCGTGTCACTGCAGGAGGGCATGGCTATGTTAATGTAACGGTCTCTCGGTAGAGTTTACCCTCTGATAATGGCCAAACACGCTTGGAACTGATTTTTCTTTGAGGAAATTTGTTATGAAAAGGAAAGACATTTTGAAATGAAGTTCACTTTGAAACATGTCTGTAAGAAATAA